GGATCCCACTTGAGCATTGAAGTCCCCGGCGACTACTACGACGTCCGTTGATTGAGCATTCTGGAGTAGCTGAGCGAGATCCTGGCAGAATTCATCTTCGGTTTCAGGTATACTGCAATCGGTCGGTGCATACGCCGATACGACGAATAAGCATCGACGCTTTATTCTGTAGCTGTTGACTTTTCAGGTATACTGCAATCTGTCGGCGCATACGTCGATACGACGAATAAGCATCGACGCTTCATTCTGTAGCTGTTGACTCGACCGTTGAGACGTACAGCGCACAATCGGCTACTGACTGGAATCCAGTCATGAAGCGAGCGCTCAGCCTTAGCACTTAGCGCAATCCCGACACCAGCAACACCACGAGCTTTGGATGCCGAATCGTCTGACACACGAAGGGTGAAGCGTGAGGTTGAGGTTGGTTCAGGAGTACGCAGAATAAGGTAGGATCCAGCCTACGGGCGAAACGGCTGTGCACGAGCGGCGGATGAGACCGAGGGCAGTTTTAAGCGTCCCGCAGACAGGAAGTCACAACGGCGCGCCGGAGAGTAGTACAAGATGATGAAGCAGATCGGTCAATAATAAAGTGACTTCCGCGGGTTTTGTTTTCGTTACTGGATAAATCACAAGGTTGTCCAAAACAGCCATACACGGTGTGTTTAGATGTGTAAAGATCAGCCTTGAAGGTGTCGAACGATGTCAGATGCATCACGGGCAGTGTTATTTTTCAGAATTAATATGGATTCTTATGGCCTAAGATGTCAACCCACCCTACAACAGAAAACTGCCACACGACCATAACAGTAAATTGGATCGACTAATTTATGACAGTGTATGGTACGTGTCGTTTACAGACATCTTCGTCGGACGGAGCAGATAAGTTTCAATTTATACAACCATGAAACATGCATTGCTGTGTCTCGGATAACCAATGAAGCTCAGGATGAGAATGAAGAAAAACCACGAGTATCAGCAATATTCAGATAAAAATTATACATTTTCAATGGGGTGTCCAATTTACCTTAAAGCTATAACAGCCATATATGAAAGCGAGAAAAAAATCTTCATATCATGAATTTTCGGCGTTGGGGTTTGCTTTCCGGTATCGAGAAAACTACCGATTGCAAAATAAAGTTATTGATCACGACTACATACGTTGCAATATCAGAACAGAGTTCACGGACGGGGACAAATAAATATATACACAAATGTGTATATACCAGCAACCGAGAGTAATGCACTACAATATTTCCTCTGTGATCAAATTGGGTTTCATTATATTAATCACTTATATTAATGCTTTAGTCATGGACAATAAGTTATCCCTTGTCTACTTCAATCTACCTAATGTGTCAATTAAACGTGTCTGATCTTGGTTGCCAAGATAAAATAATCTCAACATGAAAATCGCAAACCTTATCAAGTATGAAAATGAAATATGTTCTAATAGGAGCGACTCAAGAATCATCCCAAATTATTTCCATAAACCCCTGTCATCTCGGTTATTTGTTATGAGGCATTTTGTCTAATATATAATCCATAATAGCAACTCTATTGAATAACCAAATGAAAATCTTTCCTAACTCGGAGAAATTGCATTAAATAAGATTTCGTAATAATAATCTATTTGCTGGCTAACTCACTGAATTCGAGAAATATCATTTTCGCCAAAGTCAACCTTGAAATCAAGGTACTTTTTGTGCACAGCTTCGAACGTTCCTATTGTTATCACCATATTGAAACCAGCAGCGCTCGAAACCAAAAGTTCTCGTTATCTCAGTGAAGAGGACAGAAATAGAATTGCACGAGCACAAGCTGGGATTTTCCATATCAAATCTTGCTCAATGCTTTAATCTTAACAAAAGCACAGTTTACAGGATAATCCATGGAAAAAGAACCAGAACAGCTTCGAGGCTGATAACCGAGTACATCCAAACAAGAAGATGACCTAATTTGTATTACTTGGAAAAAACATTGCAGAAAATCGTTGTCGTTTATCCGATGAAAAGATCTTCCCAACCATACACACTTTCTTCTGCAAAGAAGAATGAAAAAACTAAAATGCGTCAGGTTTCAGCTGACGTCATTATATTATTATTTGTTCAACACGTAACCAAGTACTGAGAACTGGCAAATGTGCCACAACATAAGAACAGAAAGAAACTTGAATGTGTTCACGGTTTGTGTAGGCATGTTACTTCCTGGTTGCCCTGGCAGAGAAAGGGAGATAGCCTCACGGTCCCCACCCGAAGCCATTGGCTAGAAACCCAGACCTGCAAGACAACAGGACGGAGCTTAGAGTCCGCAGTTTATTGGAGGCCGGTGTCCAGTTCACTGGATCATACACCCTTTGGACGGGGTCAAACGTCCCAAGTGCCAAATACAACTCGATATCCAATTAAGCCGGTGACCAATATCGCGACCAGGAAGGCGTGCGTGTGGTTCTTACGCCTCTTCTTGGTTGGTTTGGAATCAGGGTTTTTAGCCAACTCCCTTAAGTGAACTACCAGTTGTTCACCAGATGTGGGCTTTTCGTCCTCTCACTTTGGTGCGAAAATACCTCCGCCACCAGAAAGCAGTGAGTAGGGCTTCCTCAGCAGAGGCTATTTGAGATGCTTGGTTATATAGGAGCATTTCGCGAGGTGTAAGGAAATGGTGACTAGTCACAATCCCAGACACTCACCCCGACCATACTGAGGCATTTGAAGGCCGTCAAGTCAGAACTGAACGCGCTGTAAAGGCAGGCTCGTATTGAATTTGCCCCAAAATTCAAATTTCGACGAGCGTCATTTTGGCGATCGGTTTTTTTCGCCGACGATGGTGTGCGACGAGCCTCGGAATGCTCACAAAAAGTCAGTTGTGGTGAGGATTTCCCAAAAGAACTTATTCCACCAAATGAAAGAGTTTCTCACCCGTCGAGATTACTCACCTGGGCAGAGACAAAATATAGTCAGCCTTGTTGATGGACATCAGTCAAAGGCACCATGAATAGTGGTAAATTCGTATCAGTAATGACGAAAATGTTTTCGGAATTTCATGGGAAAAAATCGTCTGGAAAAGTTATCGTTTTTCAGGAGACGTGAATTTAAATCAAGCCATCAGTTTCCTAAGACGGGCGGAGCGACGACGCGTTCACCAATTCTATCGATCGGGCTTATCGCAGGGTTTCCATCAGATGAGACCGGATTGAGAAAAAAGTCGGTAACGAGCGTTGATGGTTTAATGTAACCTGCAGTAGCAAGATGTACAGAGAGTAAAGCGCACAACACAATTCACCGGAAATTGTGCCATATTCGAGGGCATATGCGATCTCGGGCTTTTAGATGAATCCAGGGAATGACGGTAAAAAGTGAAAATAGTGCTACTACAAACGAAAGCGTGAGGAGAAAACGGCTAATCAGCCCGGACTATCCTCCTGATTGATTTTGTGCATATATATATATATATATATATATTAAAAACACGATCCGGAATAAGTCAGTAAGCATATGGCGTAACCGCAACCCACGAACGCGTTTCACAAATTTTTTCAACGCTACTTACTTTCATAATGGATTCGTTCCCACGTAAAGCTGCAATTAAGAGCGGCGATGGAGCCTGTGTGGTACATTTACGCGATTCACCGGACGGACTGTTTGAGCCAGACTCGACGATCACATGACCCAGACTGTAGTCTCGAACACGTTGAACGGGGATCGCACGAAGTAACAATTTGACGGCCGCCTCATTGCCGGCACTCACGGCCAGATGCAATGGTGAATAGAAGCACTGGGAAGGTAAGGAATGAAAGGGGTGGGATTGGGTATGCAAGTAGACAAACAAACCGACAGGGGAATGGTTGACCAAGCCGGCGAAGTTGGAGAAAAATATGAATCAATTCAGAGCAGGAACCAACCATACGGTGCGCACGAAAGTGTTCCATCTCCGTTAGTGGTGAGGACAAGGTCAAACAAGGATAAAGTACAAATATGAACAGGGTAAGAGCAACTCCGATTCATGTCAACATTTTCTAGGTGAAAATTTTCGCATCACTACCAACACTATTACGCGTAGGGTGGAAACTAACGGAGGAAATGAATACTGTGTGTATGTGTGTGTACGAAGGTGGATAACCAGACAAATATGCTTGATGCTACCAAAGAACGAACAAATCGAAATGAATTAGCAGCTATACGTTGTACAATAAACGGTTGGTATGAATCCTGATATCAAACAGCTAAGGACTGTTCGTAATACTAGTTAGCATGTTCTGAAGCGAAAAGGGTAGGTCGATCTGTGTGAAATGTCAGCAAAGGTTTGGGTAGTCAATTCAGATAAAATGTGATAAACAAACTTTGCAGCTAAATTCTGAATTTGAATGACTTCATGCACGATTTTCTACACTTCCGGATGGGAATTTCATATCACACATGCCACTGCAATGATGGGAAAGGGAATTCGAAACCCTGGTACAGAAGAATGCAAACAGCCACGAATCTTAAGATGAAAACCATGCTTCTTAAATTTGATTGCGTGAGGGTGAAACCTAAGAACCCTTTGAAAAATTTCTGTCCAAAGAGGACTAATCAAACACGTAACATTACTGGCCCCGACGATGCTTCGACTACTGCTTAGGGTGAAACCAGCACACTTAACAAAGTGCGGTTCAGAGAGCCAGCTATAGGATTCCGTTGAGCATCAATACATTCCGTGCTACTCAGTACAAAACAGATAGCGAAGTAAAAATCAACTCGAAATGTCCTTCAAGCGTTGTTTTTTTCTTCTTCAGATCACGGAAACAGCTGTCAATGTCACCACAACCGTAGCATTGTTGCACATGATAAGCAAGAGAGTTGTCCGTGTCAGACGAAAAATTGAACACGCACACACATACACGGGTGAACACCTGGAAAACTCATTCAATCGAAGCTTGCGGATATTTTTTGCTACTTCAAGGTCAGTTGGAGAACAAACAACAAACGGTGTTAGGAAAGTTAATTGCCACTGTGGTAGAAGCATTGGATCAAACGAACTGGGATGAGTTATTCGGAGTACCGAAAATAAGATCACAGATCGAAATAGTACACGCATGCAATCGGGTATGAAGGAATTAGTCGGGGAAAAAATGAGCTTGCGAATAGCAATTGCACTTACTCGACGCAGACGAGCCGGAGCGGGTTCCCGTGCAAGTTCACTACCATAGTCATGTGAGGCAGACTCCACTGAGTGTGAGTCTCGACCGCATGAAATGGCAGCCACGGGTGGCCAGTGGGTACAACTGGTTGGATTGGCACCGTAGGAAAGCAAATGCTTGACTAGAATTCCAGTTGTATCGTATGCGCAGGCAAAGTGTAACGGAGTGCAACCATACCGATCGGTGGCATTCACTTGAGCACCCAACTAGATAGAGAACGATAACAAGAGGGATATATATATATATGTATATATATATACGTACGTAAACGTATTAGATAGATAGATAGATAGATAGAACAAAAAATATGGAAAACAAAAGTCAAAACTGTCTTCCAATGACGGAAATCTGATCAGTGGAAATAATGAGATGAATGCTCGTAAAAAGCAAAGTCCGGGCTGGTCAAATAGGCTGGATGTAATGGGATTATTTCCATATTCCTGTTAGTGCACAAAATTCCATAGTTTAGAAGGCACAATTATGTGTAGATTGGAGAATGAACGATCTATGTTGGTATTTGGAGGAGTTTACTTTAAACGGATCAACACGTCCAGTGACACATCATTCCTGAATGAAAATTTTAAAAATCTCCAAGAGCTTGTGACAGATGATATCGTGTGGAGAAATGTAGAAAAAAATTATGTTCCTTTTTTACAATCAATCAAGTCACAAAAATGAAAACCCGAACATTATGAAGGACGGACATGATTAGATTCCAGACCGAAAAACATCACGGGTGAAATGAGGCATGATAGTTCACGGAATTCGAACCACGGAACAAAGTCAGCAAAAAGTGGTCAAGCTGATCTGTGCTTGTCATTGCGTTTCAGTTTGAACAACCATTAACCATGCACTTTCGTGCGCCGGTTTTGGTTGCTGTCTTTTGGCTGCCCATTTTCATTGCGTACAGAATGTGGGGTTGATTGTGATGCGTCTATTTGTGTTAGACTTCAAATGATGTTTCCTTCCTACAATGAATGATAATATATCGGCTGAACAACCATTAAAACACTGTGGTTGCACGGGTTAGTTCACATAAGTCAGCATGGTAAGACAACTCCAAAATACCGGCATTTTTATGGCGGACCATTAGACGACGAACGGCCAACGCCTTAGCGACAGTTACGTATCTAATACTCAATTCTGTTGAGTGTTAAATACGTTCTAGGACTTTGAGTAGCCCCAATGGGATAGGTGAGGTGTTCAACTGGACGAAAAGCAGTTAGGATGTGGGTTCGAAACTCCAACCTTAAGGGCTGGATCACGTTAGCGGCCACGACTCAAACCGATTGACCACCGCAACCGAGTTAAGGTAGGTATACAATCCACTATTTTGCCTAACGAGGCACGCGAGATGTCCAACAAGCTGTGAAAAATAGCTAGTTTACGGTCCATCCAGAGAACGGGTTGAGAACGTAATAAACCCGTTTTTAATTCAAAGAATCTGACTATATGCTGTGCAAGCGTCTCGGTAGATTTCTTAGGCTTGTGAAGACGGCGCAGTGTACGCGATACTTGTGCTTTTCGAACCACTTCAACCGAGATTCTGGTTGTGTCAATCACAGTTGGGCAATCGAAATTTGACCAACGCATTTCTGTTCCGAATACGCACGCATCTCTTAATTTGCTTGTGCTGTGAATGTCTATTTTTGAAAGCACAATTGCAATTGCAGATTTAAAGATCAATCAGTCTCGATATGTGCACAACTCAGGAAAAAGAAAAACACTTTTTGTTATTGTTGTAGATGATACGGTTCAACCTGAACTACACTAAACGCTTGAAGCAAATTGCATCCTCCAAACAGTTGAGGACAAACCTTGAGAAAAACAAGCGACACATTTGTCGCATCTGCAATCGCATTGGCACGATAAACCACATTGCGTGATTCATTCGAGTTTGAGGAATCACCCGATTGATTAAGTCCCCCCAACGATCCCGATGTGTTCATGGGGTTTCGCCAAGCGAATACACAGGATGCCACCGCATAGTGCAACGGAGTACGACCGTCGTGGTCTGTGGCAAACGGATCGCCACCAGCCAAAAGAGTCAATTTGAGACAATCCAGATTTGCACCAAGCGCGGCCGCATGAACCACTGTACGACCGTCATCGTCGGTGAGTTGGACTAGTTCAACCAAGCGTTCAAGGGCTTCAGGGGAACTGGCCCATTCGGCTAAATTATCCAAGTCGAGCTGTGCATCCGCGGGGTAGTCCCCTGAGTTACTCAAGCGTTGATCGAGCATGGCTGCCGCAATGAGTCTGTAATTTGAGAGAAAAAAGACAGCAGACAGAGTTAGTTGTGCGTGGGAGTGTCTTCAGAGGTGCGGAACATGCGCGTTAGTGGGGAAAACAGTGTCAACACAGTACAAGTCGAGCCACATGCGGGTTATAGTACCAATTCAAATAATGTTAGGTAAAAACCACCAGAAAAAAAAGCGCACAAGAAAGCTTGCATTAATTTAATTAGAACGCTATTCAGCCGAGAGAAAAAAAATCTCCGAATTGCACATTCCATAACAATCGGAAGGATTAATGATAAATCACCATTAACAGAACTCTACGCGTACCGGTGCGCGTGTGCATGTATGTATGTATGTTAACATAAGAATGTAGTTGTGCATTTGTTTGACTGGACAACAGAAAATTGTACTCGTAACGTACCGAAATAGGCTGAGAGTAGATTGCGCAACAATGGAACACAAATTTATGATGGAGTATTGTCTAAACGCAATTTATATGAATGTAAGACCTTCCTACGAACCGTCCCTCTCCCTCAGTTCATCAACAAAACCACAAATTCATAGATCACTT